TCCCTTTTTTTATTGTTACCAGGGAAATTCCCATTCTCGCATCACCATGGCAACAGTCTCATATCCCAGACTGTTCCAGAGAACGGGTATTTCCCCATACACACACACACACACACACACACACACACACACACACACACGATGTTCCAATCCGCTTTAACAATCAGCTGAGGGGGGAGGGGGGGGGGGTTGACGTGTCTTTTTAAAGTCTGTTCATTTGCTCCCGTCTGAGTCTACATGCAGTTAAACGCTGCATGAAACGGCACAGGAGCTCTCTCACACACACAAACACACACACACCCCATGTGAGGAATCTACGCTGCAATTCACTGTAACCGTTTTCTCCTCATTCGGCTCAGCTTGACGAGTGATTAAAGGCACCAGGCCAGCTCCGTAAACAGCTGATTAATATGCATGTGGAGCAGATTTAAAACAAATCCGTACCTGGATGCATCAGGTAAATACGTGAGAGGAAACCAGTGGGGTTCACTGATGGAGCTGGTTCCACCACTCACCAGTAAGGAGGCGTGGGAACACCCAGTTCAGGCAAAGGTGTGTGGAAAACTCCCGCCGTCACGAGCCATGGCTTCAGCGCGGAGCAGATCGGCGTGCGGAGCCATTTCTGATCCAGGTCAGCTGCAGGTGCGATTTGACCTGCTGCCACTGTCTTACAGCGAATATCTGATGATGGATTTTTGTGTCCTAAAAAGTCTCAGCGACAGTTACCCTGACGTCAAACCAGAGCCCTCACACACTTCCTCTGCAACGGCAGCGTTACGTTTTAAATAATCCACTGCTGATTGTAGAAAAGGTTATTTTACCTCCACCATGATGCAGCTCTGCCTAATGCACTCTCATTATTGTGTTGTTTTAAAGATTCTGTGGACAAGTATCAAACTGTCTTAATGTTGTCTTAATTCTTTCTGGCTGAAAGTGTGATTCCAACTGAAATGAGCAGATTACCTTAAGATTCTCTCTCCGACAGCTAAAAACCAATAAGATAGTGACTTCAGAGCTTATTAATACCCATCTATCCGTTGTTCTAACCGCCTTGTCCTCATTAATGTCCCGGGGAGCTGGAGTCCATCTTTAGTGGTCACCGGGGGACGCCCTGGACAGGTCAGCGTTCCATCACTTGTACATGTGTCATCTTTAACTAAGTCACTAACTAAAGGTTTAGATTTTTATTGGCTTTAAGTATTATAAAGCATCAATCTTGTTTTTCTGTTGGCCAATAGGAATGAAGCTGAATCATTCCAACTGAAATATGATTAAAAATGAATTATTTACCGAAGCAGAAAGATGAATTGAAAATAAAATTGGAACATTCAATGATGCAGCAGAATGTTATTTTTTAACCCTGTGAGAGGCGGAGCGAATCTGGAAGCTTGTTCCCCCGAGAGAACCAACTCACTTAAATACTTATACTTGAAACCTAACGTGTGCTGTAAACCGATATCCCTGTCGATATCTTTAACTTCATGACAATCTGCATCCTACGCACAGAAAAAACAGACTCCATGTGGGAACTTTCCAAAATCTGCTCTGCATCTGGATCCGGTCTGCATCCACATCCGCTCTGCATCCGGATGGATCTGATCTGCATCCAGATGGATCCGATCTGCATTCGGATGGATCCGATCTGCATCCGGATCCACTCTCCATCCAGATCTGCTCGGCATCCGGATCCGCTCTGCGTCTGGATCTGCTCTGCATCCGGATCCGCTCTGCATCCAGATCTGCTCTGCATCCGGATCCGTTCTCCATCCAGATCCGCTCTGCGTCCGGATCCGCTCTACATCCGAATCCGGTCTGCATCCGAATCCGCTCTGCATCCAGATTCGCTGTGCATCCGGATGGATCCACTCTGCATCCGGATGGATCCACTCTGCATTGGGATCCGCTCTGAATCTGAATGGATCCGGTCTGCATCCGGATCCTCTCTCCATCCAGATCTGCTCTGCATCCGAATCCGCTCTGCATTCAGATCTGCTCTGCATCCAGATCCGCTCTGCATCTAGATCTTCTCTGCAGCCGGTGTGAATGCTCTGACACTAAATGGTTTCTGCTCTATGCAGACGCCTACAGATTCCAGACCGCATCCTTTCCATACTTGTTGTGAATGAGGCTTTAGACTGCTGGAGGACATACTGAAGTATCCCGATTCATCCCTTTAGTTATGCTAAAGTTAAGCATGCCAAGCTGGGCCAAAAACAACGTCAGCAGCCGTCAGTCTCTGACTGGCTAGGGGGTGGAGTCACTGTTATCTCCACAGTTTTCAGGCAGTTGTTGTCATCACCACCATGTCCGTCATTGTTGTGTTTTCGGGTTGCATACCACATGCACATCACTTCACGCTTACAAGTGAACACCCCCTCCCCCCACTAGAGCCATTTTTAGGTTGTAATGGAAAGCCTGAGCTGAAACAAGTTAGTAATGTAGACAGACTGGTTCATCATGGCTCATCCCTTTGGTTATGCAGCTATTCGCTCAAACTGCTGAGGATCTACTGATCTCTTAAATTATCACCACACCTCCCTCCCCCACCCCTCTTGTTGCTGGTTCTGGATCAGCTGGAGCTTTCTTCCTGTCAAAAGGGTGATTTCCTTCCCACTGTCGCCTAGTGCTTGCTCAGGATTGGGAAGTGTGCTGAAGGGACGATATCATAGTGCGACTTTCACTAATTAGACTAGGAATCTGTAATGGTGAAATTCTGGCAATATGTATCACGATACAGGGGAGACGATACGATATATCGTGACTTATTGCGATACATTCAGTCAGACGATATTAGTGAGTTTTTAGACTGAATTTGTTGTAGAAAATTCAACAAACAGTCCAAACTGATCGTAACATGTTTAACGTGAGATATCTGAACCATAACAGAGGGATTTACATTTCAATGGTGGAAACAAAATTCATTGCACACTGTTGCCAACTAGTGGCCGGCATTTGAATTGCACCAAAAGAAAAGAAAAAACACATATTAACATGTAAATTAAAAATAAATTGATGCACGGCTTTTGAATATCGATATAATATTGCTGGGAAAAATATCACGATATATTGCCATATCGATATTTTCTTACATCCCTAAATTGGATTGAAAGGACTTTGCATCTGGACCTTTTTTGAATTAACTTAATGCTTTTTGTATCATGCGTGTTGTGCAGTTTTCTATTATTTGCCTGTCAAACGTCAGATTGGAGCAGAAGGAAATCCGAACATGTGGTCACAAGCAGTCTGACCTTGTTGCTTCCATATGGCATCTGCTATAATAAACTGTATAATAAAAGATCTTTTTATATCAGAATAAGAATTTATGGATACAAACTTCCCTAAAGAGGTTTCAGTGAGGTCGTGTAGGATCAGAGAATCCTTTCCTCGGCTGGTTTGACTTGGCAATCAGGAATTCTAGGGGAATTGCACAGAAAGGCAATATTTATGTTTTTGTTTGGATTGAAGATGTCAGAATCTGATCCGTTTCTGGAAGAATGAAACAGAAATCAGACTAAACCGCGTATGAGGCGAGCTTCTCATCATATCAGAACTGATTTCATCTGTGAATCTCTCCTTCACAAAACCTCTGGAAGACAGTGGGGGATGTTGGCAGGTTTTTCTGTCAGGAGATCGCGGCCAAGCCTCCGCCAGCCGCTCTCACAGCTGAGAACACAGACGGGGGAAGAGCTGAAAGCAGGAGGTGTGGAGAAAGGGGGAAGAAAAGAGGGGAATAAAGTGAAAATGAAGCTGGAAGGAGGGGTGAGAAGATCTGAGGTTAGGTATGTGTGTGTGTGTGTGTGTGTGTGTGTGTGTGTAGGGGGGATTAGGGAGAAGAAAGGGGAACGTCTGGAAAGATGCTCTAAAAAAGGAAAATGATGGAGGAAGGGGAAGACTTGGGTTAGGTGGGATCAGAAGTGAGAGAAGGGAGGATGGCAGTGTAGAGAAGAAAAAGGAAGGAACGTATGAAGTTAAATAGAACATGAAGCTGGGAGGAGGCCAGAAGAACAGGAGAAGGTGGGAAAGATGGAACAGAGAAAAGAACCTGGAGAAAACACATCTAGAGCTAAAATGTTAGATTAGATCCTCAATGGGAACGAGAGATGCATGGCTGTAATCTGCAGATGCAGATTCATCTCAAACTCTTGGCAATGGTGAGTTCACAGACCGCGGAAAACGTCTGAACTTCTAACACGCTCGGTGTGTGTCAGATTTTTGACATTCCCTTCCACCATCATGGTGCAGCTTTAGTAAAAACCTCATTCTTCCTGTTCACCTTCCATCCACCTCCCTCTCTCTGTGCCCTCCCTTCCTCTTGTTTCCTGCTGCCATCTACTACCCCCCCCCCCCCCAATCCACCATCACCTGCTGGTTTCTCACACAATCAATTGATTAGAACGCCACTTATCTCTGTGATGTCGAACGCCTTCCACAATCACAACATTCTCATTAATCTGCATTCACTGCTACAGCACCAGCAATCACTCCTCATTCCGCTGACGGCCGGATCCGTCCCGGGATTCAGCAACCATTTGGATCTTGGAGGGACTTTGGATCTGACTGGTTGAACATTTGGATCTTAGATCTTCATGCATAAAAGAAGATTGTTTCTTTCCGTGTGTGTGTGGGGGGGGGGGGGGGGCGCAAAAGTCTGGCCACTCTTTAAATGATGAGCTGATGAGTTGATTGGCAGACAGCAGGGTGAGACCAGACAGACTAATCTGTGGCTTCAATAATGGATGCACCTGGAAACTGGTGAAGCATAGGATCACTACAAGACATGACAGAGAGAGAGAAAGAGAGAGTGATAAAGATTGTGTGTGTGTGTGTGCGCGCGCGTGTGCGTGCGTGCGTGCGCGCGCGCGACCAAGACGAGGGGAGAAAGGACGACTCTGTCAGTCTGCATCTCAAGTGTGTGTGCGTGCGCGCGCGCGCACTAGCAAGGGCGTGAATGGAAAGCGAGTGTGTGTGCATGCATGCATCTGCCCCCCGCACCCTCACACCTTGCCGCCTTAGCCTCCTCTTCTTCAGGCCAAATATCCGGACTTTGGAGAAGATGTCGACCAGGTTCCCGTTGCACAGCCCCTGCTTCTTACCGGGGCTCTTCCGCCGCCGGTGAGCGGTCGGTCGGTGGGCGTGTTGCTCTCTTGCTTGCCGCTTCTGGCGGATCAAACCGCTGGCTATGGCCGCTGCCATGTCTCCGCCGAAACAGGCGACGCAACCCGCCCCCCGTCTCCAGTCTCCTCGCTGTCCGCCGGAGGGGACGGAGCGCAGACAGACTCAGACACTAACCTCCGGTCTTCTCACCGGCTAGGGCAATCCCATGCTTACACGGTGAAGTCAAAAACGAAGCCCTCACCTCACAGCATGCTCTCCGTTCCTGTTCTCCTTCAGGCCATAGACCTGGGAGGCGCAGCGGGTTACCTGTCCGTCACGTTTCACCGGGCGGTCTGTCTGTCAGGCAGATGACAACAACTGTCAGTGAGCGGCTCCTCCAGCCCGTCCTCCCGAACCCAGTCGGTTACTTTCTGCTCCCATGGTGGTCAACAGGCGGCACGAGCGGAAGACACCCCAACATGCGCCTGAGACGCTCCACAAGGCAGTCTTGTTCTCCTCTCGGAGGAGAAAAGGGTCTGTTTGTATTCCGCTGGCTGAAGCGCGCGGCGCGCGTGCCTCCGCGAGCCGCTCCAGCTGCGTCAAACTGGCGGGAGTCACACGGAGCGTCACCGGAAACCAAGCCTGTTGCATTTCAAAATTAAAGCTCAGAAGACTTGCGCTTTCTCCACAAGATCATGGTCTTTAAATGATCGTTGTGCCCATTTTAAATGCTTTTGAGATATGTTTTTACATAGAGTGTTATAGATGCAGCAGAAATTAGCTGCAGACCAAAGGTAACTACATTAGTGGCAAGCCTTATATATGTGAATATCTGGTCTGGCCACGACCCATAGCCAGAGCTCAGCCATGGGGTGGAACTTACGGTTGTCTTTCAAACTGTCTCCACATTGCATTGGACAACAAACAACATGATGTACTCACCGCTACTGATGTCAGTACAAGGTAGTCACACCGTAGTGCATCCTACTTAAGTGACAATGTGTATTTTTCCTTGTCAGGGGGTGGCAATACATACCTAAATCTTAGCAAGCAAGCTCTATTTTTGTGTTCGAGTAAGACCTTATCAAAGGGTGGCCATTAGGGTCAAAATCCCTGGGAGCGCAATTTTCCAATGTGTAATCAGATCTTTCAACCTTCTGCAAAATGACAAGCACATCATACCCCTGTTCATCACCGGCCACGAACAAAGGGCTAAACGTGTAAAACAACAGAGTTTATGAATGGCAAAAATTTTGTATCTGCTTGTTACAAATCAGTAAATGTTTTTGTCCCCACAGGCTCACCTAGAAGGAAACATCACATCTAACGTAGCGTCGCCCAGAGACTGTGCCTATGTATTTTAAGCTCAATTTTTACATTTAAATGTTACGGAGCCGCCAATTTTTTTCAACTGGCATCATTTAAAAAGCAAGTAACTTCCAAATCAACTTTTTTTCTGATAAAATATATAAATGTGTGTCTAATCTTGCTGCAGTTGCTGTGATTCTCTGTGTGTGTGTGTGTGTGTGTGTGTGTGTGTGTGTGTGTGTGTGTGTGTGTGTGTGTGTGTGTGTGTGTGTGTGTGTGTGTATTTGTTAGCGGCTCCGCCCTCTCGGTCTGCTAGGCAACAGCATTTGTTGCATTTATCAAACAGGAAGTGGGAGTGGAGTAATATTCTGGTAGGGCATGACTTGCTCTTTAATTCCTTTTCAGCAACATTTCGATGGATATTTCCAGAGATTAACGGTAAAAACTACACACCGTCACTTAAGGTGCCTCAATCCTCTTGAGTCAGTGAAATGCTTGTCTAAATAGTCCAAAGTTAATGCCAATGCTGTTTCAAATGAGCCATTTATTTTTGTTTTTTCATTCAGTTGCAGTAACATCCCGTCCATCTAACTGATGGAGCAATGTTGACTGGAAAGGCACAATCCTGTTGGGCCTGCTGAAGCTCTAATGGAGCGTGGCTAGCTCGACCTTGCTGAGCAAAATCACTCTGCACCGGCTTTTGTCTGTCTAGATTTCTAGGCTATGCTACCATTTCATATCTGTCACAAAAATAATACTGGAACAACCACCAAATGTGAAATTTGAAAATTAAGCAAACTTTTCCAATTCCAGGGAAAATAAATGATCAAAAGTTGATGTGACAATTTAACCTTAAAGAAATTGAAAATTGAATTTGAAATATTCAGAAATATATGTTATGCTAAGTTAAAATTTAAAGTTCTTGTTTCTACTTAAATTTCTTATTTATGTTGCCAATTAAACCCAACTAAGTTTCACACCTTTCCTTTTTTTCAGAAATTCAAAGTAAATTTTTGTCGATATGAGAATGATGTCATGATCAGTACCAAAAATGAGTAGCAAATGTAAAGTTTCTGTTTGATATACACCAAGTATTATTGACAATAAACAGCAATTTGTTTCCCACAAATTAAGTGCCATGTCATAACTGTCAATTAATAAACTTTTGGTGGGTCTTTTAAATTGGTTTTTATTCAACAGATAGGCTATATTAGAATGCATGATTTTAAAATGTAGCCATTTTTTAAACGAAAGTTACCTTTAATCATTATTCAACAGCTTCATTATGTAGCTAGATTTTTTAATCACTAAGCAACACAAATCATTTTTAGATACCCTGATGGTCACACCCAACTTAACCCAATCCTTGTTGCAGATTTTTTTTTAAAAGAGAGAAAAGAATGACACAAACACTAATAAAAGGTTAAAAATATCAAATTCATCTTATTATGTAAAGAAAAATCTGTAGTCAATTAATTTATAGCTTTCATTTTAGCCAACAGCCAAAATAAATGTAATTAAAATAAAGACTCAGTGTGTGCTAAATATTTTTTATGTTCACCAATAATATCATAAACCCATTGGGCTACTTAAAAACGTTTCACTCTTATTTTGAAAGGAAGGACCGGATGTGCAAGATGGGCGTTCTGGTGATTTGACACTGTAGACCGGGATAGCTGTCCGGAGACCACCGGATCCGCGCGCCAACAGCGCTATCACACAACCGGTTCTCTTCACCGGACCGGACCCGGCCGCCCGGTGGGCTGTCTGGAGTCAGTTACTGAAACGCCACTTAGCAGGTGTTACGTCATAATGCGTTACCCCGTCAAAACGGGTTCCTTAGCTGTGAATTGGGGCTGTTCTTGTTGAACACAACCACAACACACACGATTAGAACTAGTGTCGTGGAACATTAAAGAAAGATAAAAAATAAATAAATAAAAACTATTATAAAACTTTAAGAGAAAGTCGAATAAAAACAGGAAACAATCATAAAAACATGTTCAACAAGATAAAAAAACAAAACAACAAAAGACCAAGGCAGTGTTGATCCCTATGCTGAAACGCCATCACATAAAAATGAGTCTTTATGTGAGACTTAAAAACCATAAGCGATGGCGCCTGCCTAAAGACAACAGGTACCTCATATGTCATGATGTCACGAGTAAATTATGTGTTCGACAAATAGGCTTAGGCAGAACATTTGATTATTAATGACGTTCACAAAACACTCACGTAAACACCTGAGGCTTGGACGACAAGAGAAAAACAGGTAGGGAAACAGTTTTCGTTGGAGTAACACATTTCAGCACAACATCTGTTCCCCTGGGCAGTGGCGCGCCCAGAAAAGGGGTGGCCATGGGCCAGGTAAAACGTTAGGGTGGCACACCAGATTGATCCTCGTGGTAACTGTGGGAAAGTTTAGCCTGTGATGATGCAATAAATGCTTCTTTATTCGTTTCCATTTAAAAAAATATGCATCTAACAACTTATATGACTTTTGAGAAACACAAAAAATTTTGTTGTTTCGACATTTATTTTAGAATTTTAGAACACGTGTTTCTTTTCTAAAACATCGACAAAAACTATGATCATCAACTTTTGTTTTGGTTTGTTGAGCAGCAGCAAAATAAAAAATTTTCAAAATTCTGATTGTTTATTTACTCGTTACATGTTTTAGGGTTTTACATGGACAGGTGGAACTTGGAAAATAAACATGGTGCAAAAGTTTGTTTATTTCAGTAATTCTACTTAAAAGGTGAAATTACCCTATGAGACAACCTCGTTCCATGCACAGTCAGATGTTTTAAATATATAATTGTGGTGATTATGACTTACAGCTTATTAAAACCCCACATTCAAAATCCCAGACAATTAGAATATTGTGAAAAAATCAACATTCCAGAGTCAAAGTGTCCCACTCTATTCAGCTGATGAATCCAGAACACCTGCAAGGGTTCATGAGCCTTAGACGGTTTCTCAGTCTGAGCTGGATACATTTACTTTTGCAATATTTTCAAATTTTTGGAGAGCCACTTGTATGTTTTCATTGAATATGATAAATTTATGATTTGTGTAAGCTTCTCTTCGTCTTCGTCTTCGTCTTCGTCTTCCTCCGCTTATCCGGGTCCGGGTCGCGGGGGCAGCATCCCAATTAGGGAACTCCAGGCCGTCCTCTCCCCGGCCTTGTCCACCAGCTCCTCCGGCAGGACCCCAAGGGGTTCCCGGACCAGATTGGAGATGTAACCTCTCCAACGTGTCCTGGGTCGACCCGGGGGCCTTCTGCCGGCAGGACATGCCCGAAACACCTCCCCGGGGAGGCGTCCAGGAGGCATCCTGACCAGATGCCCAAACCACCTCAACTGGCTCCTTTCGATCCGGAGGAGCAGTGGTTCTACTCCGAGTCCCTCCTGAATGTCCGAGCTCCTCACCCTATCTCTAAGGCTGAGCCCGGCCACCCTACGGAGGAAACTCATTTCGGCCGCTTGTATCCGCGATCTCGTTCTTTCGGTCATTACCCAAAGCTCATGACCATAGGTGAGGATTGGGACGTAGATCGACCGGTAAATCGAGACCCTGGCTTTCTGGCTCAGCTCCCTCTTCCCCACGACAGATCGGCTCAGCGTCCGCATCACTGCAGACGCCGAACCAATCCGCCTGTCGATCTCCCGATCCCTCCTACCCTCACTCGTGAACAAGACCCCGAGATACTTAAACTCCTCCACTTGAGGTAGGACCTCTCCCCCGACCCGGAGGTGGCAAGCCACCCTTTTCCGGTCGAGAACCATGGTCTCAGATTTGGAGGTGCTGATCCTCATCCCAGCCGCTTCACATTCGGCCGCGAACCTACCCAACAAGAGCTGAAGGTCAGAGCTGGATGAAGCTAGGAGGACCACATCATCCGCAAAAAGCAGAGACGAGATTCTCCTGCCACCAAACTCGACACACTCCACACCACGGCTGCGTCTAGAAATTCTGTCCATAAAAGTGATGAACAGAACCGGTGACAAAGGGCAGCCCTGGCGGAGTCCAACCCTCACTGGGAACAGGTCCAACTTACTACCGGCTATGCGGACCAAACTCACGCTCCTCTGGTAAAGGGACTGAATAGCCCTTAACAGAAAGCCACCCACCCCATACTCCTGGAGCGTCCCCCACAGGGTGCCCCTGGGGACACGGTCATAAGCCTTCTCCAAATCCACAAAGCACATGTGGATTGGTTGGGCAAACTCCCATGCCCCCTCCATCACCCTTGCAAGGGTATAGAGCTGGTCCACAGTTCCACGGCCAGGACGAAAACCACATTGCTCCTCCTCTATCTGAGATTCAACTATCGATCGGACCCTCCTCTCCAGTACCTTGGCGTAGACCTTTCCAGGGAGGCTGAGGAGTGTGATCCCCTATAGTTGGAACACACCCTCAGGTCACCCTTCTTAAAGATGGGGACCACCACCCTGGTCTGCCACTCCCTAGGAACTGCCCCCGATGACCACGCAATGTTGTAGAGACGTGTCAACCATGACAGCCCTACAACATCCATAGCCTTGAGATACCCAGGACGAACCTCATCCGCCCCCGGGGCTCCGCCGCTGTGTAGTTGTTTGACTACCTCAGCAACTTCTGCCCCCGAGATCGGACAGTCCATCCCCAGGCCTCCCAGCTCTGGTTCCTCCTCGGAATGCGCATTGGTGGGATTGAGGAGCTCCTCAAAGTATTCCTTCCACCGTCCGACTATAGCCTCAGTTGACGTCAGCAACTCCCCATCCCCACTGTAAACAGTGTGAGCGAGTTGCTGCCTTCCTCTCCTGAGGCGCCGGACAGTTTGCCAGAACCTCTTTGGAGCTGATCGATAGTCTTTCTCCATGGCCTCACCAAACTCCTCCCACGCCCGAGATTTTGCCTCGGCAACTGCCACTGCTGCACCCCGCTTGGCTATCCGGTACCTGTCTGCTGCCTCCGGAGACCCACAGACCAGCCAAGCCCTGTAGGCCTCCTTCTTCAGCCTGACGGCTCCCCGAACCTCTGGTGTCCACCAG